GGTTGCCATGGTGATGTTAGCCTAGTTGAGGCCACCATCTGGTGAAGTTCAGTCTTACTTCACACATAGTCCCTCGACTTACAACAGTTCATTTAGTGACCGTTTGAAGTGACGATGGCACTGGGGAAAAAGTGACTTTGGACCGTGTTTCACACTTATGACCGTCACAGCATCCCAAGCGTCCAGTCTCTTCTCTTGTAGACATCATTTTCCAGTGATGGAGCACCCACAACGTCTGAAGGCAAGTTGGTTGACTGCACTCACCCTTAGGAAATTTCTCCTTAGTTCTAGGTTGCTTCTGTCCTCGGTTAGTTTCCCTCCATTGTTTCTTGCTTGCCTTTTGGTGCTTTGGAGAATAGCTTGACTCCCTTCTTCTTTGTGGTACCCCCTCAAATATTGGAAGACTGCTATCATGTCACCCCTAGTCCTTCTTTTCGTTCAGCTAGCCCAGGGGTCAGCAACCTGCGGCTCCGGAGCCACATGTGGCTCTTTGGGCCCTCTGCTGTGGCTCCCTGTCAGGTGATTCCACCACTGGCTGGCCCCGCCCCTTGACCACCTCTCCCAGTCACTCCTTGCCTGGCCTGAGAAGGAAAGGGCGACGGTGGGGGATGGAGAAGCAGCCAGGACAGAGACAGAGAGATACAGAGAGAGAGGGAGAGAGAGACATAGATACAGAGAGAGGGGGGAAGAGAGAAATAGATACAGAGAGAGGGGGGAGAGAGAGAGATAGATACAGAGAGAGGGGAGAGACATAGATACAGAGAGAGGGGGGAGAGAGAGAGATAGATACAGAGAGAGGGGAGAGACAGATACAGAGAGAGGGGGGAGAGACATAGATAAATAGAGAGGGGGAGAGAGAGATAGAGAGAGGAAGAAAGAGACATAGATACAGAGAGGGAGAGAGAGACGTAGAGAGATATAGAGAGAGGGGGGGGAGGGAGGGAGGGAGGGGAAAGAGAGACATAGATACAGAGAGAGGGGAGAGAGAGAAATAGATACAGAGAGAGGGGGGAGAGAGAGACAGATAAATAGAGAGGGGGAGAGAGAGCGAGAGAGAGAGAGAGGAAGAGAGAGACATAGATACAGAGAGGGAGAGAGAGACATAGAGAGATATATAGAGAGAGGGGGGAGGGAGGGAGGGAGGGGAGGGAGAGAGAGAGTTGTCAAAAGGATTTTGTGGTTCCCGGCGTTTTTTAACAACTAGTTCTCTGCCCTAATGACCAGCTGAGTAGGCGTGGCTAGGGGCGGTGTCATGTGACTGGTGGAAGTGAGTGACATCAAGTTGGCTACACCCACTCAGGTTTTGTGGCTTCCAGTGTTTTCTTTTCTGTGGGAAACGGATCCAAATGGCTCTTTGAGTATTTAAGGTTGCAGATCCCTGACCTAGCCATACCCAATTCCAGCAACGGTTCTTCGTATGTTTTAGCCTCCAGTCCCCTCATCATCCTTGTTGCTCTTCTCTGCACTCTTTCCAGAGTCTCCACATCTTTTTAATATTATGGTGATGCAATATTCCAAGTGTGGTCTTACTTAGGATTGCCTTAAAAGGTCTGTCCTGCACACAAAATTTGGTATGAACTCTACCCGGTTCAGGTGTCTTTCAGCTTCTGAAAAGCTCTGAATGGGAAAACGTGGAAGGAAGGCACAACGGCTGTCTAAATTAAGATACGGAATTCTGCAATTCTCCAGAAATTAAGCCTGGAATAACTGACCTATCTTGCTAATAATTACTAAGGAGAAAGGTCTGTTGTCTATTCAAGCAGAATGTTTCTTCATGTAATTTATTTCCAATTAAATGCATGGAAAATCACACCGTAATGATTAACCATCGGGGGTTCCTTTTAACCAGAGGGACTCGGTGGCTCAGTGGCTAAGACGCTGAGCTTCTCGATCGAAAGGTCGGCAGTTCAGCGGTTCGAATCTCTAGTGTCGCGGACTCCACAGTTCATCCCTGAACTACAAATATTGTCTTCTACTATAATGCTTTCCTCACAGCTTTTTTGGGTTGCATCCTCAAAACGGGGAAAGTTACACATCCCTCCTTCGCAAGCAAGAGAAGGGGCAAGGATGACAAAGGATCAAACCTGCAAGAGGCAAAGGAAGTTTTTAATTTTTACGAAATCCTCAACCTTCAGAGCTTCCGCAGAAAAGCAATATATAATCCCATATCTCCAGGAATGTCATGCCTGCTTATATTGCAATATACGTTCAAATACCCAGTGAATAGACTCTCTTTTTAAAGAAATGCGTTGGGAGGACGTTTTTGTATAAATAGTTTTAATGTTATCTATCAGTGAGCATAAATATAAAAAAACATATACATTTAGAAGTAGAAACTGATATTGGTGGAAAAGAAAAATCTGCACGATTTGCAACGGATAAATTTAGGAAAAACAATAACCGAGCAAATAAACATGTGATCTCCGCGTGTTGCTTATAGAAATTATTATTACACGGAATAAACCGGTACTACAAAGTGTTTATGGAATCTACGAAGTCTTTAAAGGTGATCAAATGTACATTTTCCCCTTTGAAATACTTGAAGCTAATAAAGGCGAGCAGAAAATAAAGAGGTCCATTTTTCTGTATGAACCTACAATATTGGGGGGGGGGAAATAATCACATCTTCCCCATTTCAGGTTGTTATTATTTAACAAAATATTAAGGGATGACAGGGTTGAAATAAAGGAGTTTTATTAAGAGAACATTTACAGATTTAACAAGAGTTGGAAGGGACCTTGCAGGTCATCTAGTCCAACCCCCTGCCCAAGCAGGAAGCTCTACATCTGCCTCTACCTAGGATCAAACTCACAACCTCCTGATTGTGAGGCAAGAGCTCAACCTCTAGGCCACAGCAGCTGGGTTAAGCCCATTTAATCGTCTACTAGTAGCTAGATTATGGACATATGACGTTGCATATAAAAAAATGTATATCATACAAAGAGACCCTCGTGTACAAACTTTGACATGAAAAAAAAAATTAAGTTTTAATACTATTTTCATGAATCCACGGATCGTTAAAAGTTATATTCCAAGAACGTCTTCCATAAAGCAGTAACCATTGTATTTTTAAATGTTTGATATTTATAGACAGGTTTTACCTGCGAGGTCATGTTTAAGTAACTTACTCAGTGATGGGATTCAGCCGGTTCGGGTGAAACGGTTAAAATGGCTGGCTGGCTCCTCCCCTCCCTGCCCCGCCCCTTCCAGGAGTCCCCATGTGCCCCGTTTTGGCTCCCAGGTAAGTACAGGGAGGCCTACTAGGCCCAAAACGGGGCGCGGGGGATGCGGTGGCATCCTCCCGCGGCCCATTTTTGCTCTCAGGACGCCACACGGATGCCTACTAGGCCCAAAATGGGGCACAGGGGAGTACAGTCTCACGCGGGGTGCAGACCACCAAGTGCTGCCTGTCACACCTTCCGGCCACGCCCACCATGGCCATGCCCACCCAACCAGTCATTAGAGCAGAAAACCGGTTGTTAAATTATTTGAATCCCACCCCTGAATTTATTGCTCTTATTGAAATCAAATCCAGGCATTTTTAAGAGTTTCCGATGTCTAGCTTATATTTTTTTAACCAATATAAAAGAGCCTTGGTAGTACAGTGGTCTAAGGCACCCTGTTATTAAGCTGGTTATTAAGACCAGCTGTCTGCAATTAAAGTAAGTTCGAATCTTGCCAAGCTCAAGATTGACTCAGCCTTCCATCCTTTCTAAGGTAGGTAAATTGAGGACCCAGTTTGTGGGGGCAATAAGCTGACTTTGTATAAATATACAAAAGTATGAAGGCTATTGCTTAGAATATTGTAAGCTGCCCTGAGTCTCTGGAGAAGGGCGGCATATAAATCAAATTAAAAATATATATATATTGGTACTTATTTATGCCATCAAAGTCTATTTTCCGGATGATCCATTACGGCAGACCGAAAATGCGTTTCCTTTATTGTAGAAGGACATTCTAAGGAGTATAAATCAGAGCTCTATGGCTGTAATCCAAAATATAATTATCGATTATATTTTAACCTCGTTAAAGTCAATGGCACATTTGGTCCACATGGACAGAATTACAACGTAAAAGTAGCAAGTATAATCACTGTAATGTTTTCGTAATTTTCTTCAACCGTTCCACAATTTCCATAAAGATCGCCCTACAGAACAGGTATAAAGTTCATATAAATAGTTCTTGACTTATATCAGTTCATTTAGTGACCATTCAAAGTTAAAACGGCACTGAAAAAAGGGACTTATGACCATGTTTCACACTTACGACCATTGCAGCATCCCTATGATCACGTGATCAAAATTCAGATGCTTGGCAACTGATTCATACTTATGACCATTTCCTGAGGTCTTTTGCGACCTTCTGAGAAGCCAAGTCAATGCACTTAACAACCGGGTTGCTAACTTAACAATGGCGGTGATTCACTCAACAACAGTGGCAAGAAAGATCGCAAAATAGGGGCAAAACTCACTTCACGAACGTCTCACTTAGCAACGTAAACATTGGGCTCAATTGTGGCCATAAGTCGAGGACTACCTGTACAATGGCAGTGGAAAACAAAGAGACTTGTGAGTAGTCCTCGCACTTATGACAATTGCCGCAACTCACAGTCACGTGATCAAAATTCGGGTGCTTGTCACAGACTTACGACGGTTGCCTGGTTGAGCGCAACCTTCCCCAGCCAATTTCCAACAAACTTAACGGGAACATCCAGATTCATTTAATGACCTCATGATCCGCGTAACAGCTGCAAATGATTTGCTTAACAACCAATGGCAAAAGTGATTGTGAAATCAGGTGTGACTCGCTTAATCGTTTCAAGGCGACAAGAAATTCTCTTCGCTACTGCGGTCGTAAGTTGAGAATTACCTGGGGTTTTTTCCTGAAGAAATATGAAGCAACATCAATCAACAAAACCACACCAATAAATAATATTGATATTTTAGAATATTGCTGCTCTCAATAACGTCCCTTCCAAAGATTTCGGTATAAAGATACCCAGGTTGAAAGTTTATTTAAAGTCTGCTTACAAACTTTTAGTTTGTTATCAACAAACTTTGATAACAAAATTGAGGTTGTTGTGTGTCTTTTAAAAAGTATTGCAATTGTTCAGCCTGGCAGCCTAAGATCAATAAGGCAAAACGTCTTTCGGAAACATTAATACTGTAAATATTGTTCTTGTAAAGTAGGAATTAAAGCTTTAAGAGATACCATACAGTACTTGAGGATGAGTGCTTATTTTTTTTGTGCATTGAAAATGTTTAATCTTCTTCTGGCTGGGGTAAATCTAGAGAGCCCACTGTATGTCGTTGAGCTCGGTGGGGTCAGTAAGTTCTCCTTCGGCTTCCAAATAATTCATAAGATCCGCCATGCCGGTCTCTTTTTCAAAATCTAACTGAGAAGTGCCACCTAGGGATGAAAAACAAATAACATAACATAACAACATAACATAACATAACATAACATAACATAACATAACATAACATAACATAACATAACATAACATAACATAACATAACATAACATAACATAACATAACATAACAACATAATATAACATAATATAACATAATATAACATCACATCACATCACAACACAACACAACACAACACAACACAACACAAATGCCCTTATTGCTAACAATTACCAATTACTACCAACCTGCCTTCCATTGAGGACCTGTATATTGGGCAAGCCAGAAAGAGGGCTGTGAAAATATCTACAGAGTGGGATTCAATTTTTTTTTTACTACTGGTTCTGTGAGCGTGGCTTGGTGGGCGTGGCAAGGAAAGGATACTGCAAAATCCCCATTCCCTCCCCACTCCTGGGGAAAGGATATTGCAAAATCTCCATTCCCACCCTACTGAAAGGGAGGGATACTGTAAAATTTCCATTCTCATCCCACTCCTGGGGGAAGGGTATTGCAAAATCCCCATTCCCTCCCCACTCCAGGGGAAGGATACTGCAAAATCCCCATTCCCACCCCACTCCTGGGGGAAGGATATTGCAAAACTCCATTCCCACTTCACTCCAGGGGAAGGATACTGCAAAATCCCCATTCCCTCCCCACTCCTGGGGGAAGGATATTGCAAAACTCCATTCCCACCCCACTCTAGGGGAAGGATACTGCAAAATCCCCATTCCCTCCCCACTCCTGGGGGAAGGATATTGCAAAATCTCCATTCCCACCCCACTCCAGGGGAAGAATACTGCAAAATCTCCATTCCCTCCCCACTCCAGGGGAAGAATACTGCAAAATCCCCATTCCCACCCCCACTCTGGGGCTAGCCAGAGGTGGTATGTGCCGGCTCTCTGAACTACTCAAAATTTCCGCTACCGGTTCTCCAGAACCTGTCAGAACCTGCTGGATTTCACCCCTGCTTCAGACCCCTCACATCCTGGACATAAATCGTTTCAACTTCTACCCTCAAAACAATGTTATAGGGCAGTAATGGCTAACCTTTTCTGGACCAAGTGCCCAAACCCCCAAAATGCAATGCATGCCCCCTACTTGTTATTTTTTTTGCTGGAAACATGAATTAAGCGCCAATTTCAGGCAAAAAAAAAATCCATAATAAATCGTGTTACGTGACTGTGGGAAGCTGCCATAAATGCGGGCCAATCACCAGGCTGCATGCTGGCTGGGGCATTCTGGGAGTTGAAGTCCGCCTATCTTTAAAAGTCAGCAAGTTTGAAAACCACAGAATTTAAAAGCTTCATTTCTACTCTCATTGCAAGGCAAATAAAGCCACGCTCAAACATAATTTCCCACTTCTGACTTTCTTTCTCGATTCCATCGTTCGGGTCAGATCCTTTTAAATCACATGTTACGCAGATGTTTTCCCTCGGTTGCAGCTCCCAGCTGGATGCAGGATGAAAGGATTCGTTTCCCACAAACATTTCCGAACAAGTTACGTGACTGTCAGGAAAGAGGTTAGGAAGGAGGGAACTCACCGAGAAGAGGCTCATTGTTGGAGAATGAAATCACGTCTTGAGTTTGCTCCGGAGTTTCTAAATCTCCCATTCCTGGACGACAAAGTTCTGTAAACTCTTTATCTGGAGCCTGAAATGACATTTAAAAAAAAATGAACAGAACCAGTATCTATATATCTGTATCTATACATCTATATCTATCTCTCTATCTCTCCATCATCTCTCTCTCTATCTATCTATCTATCTACCTACCTACCTACCTACCTATCTCTCTATCTCTCTCTATCATCTCTATCTCTATCTATCTATCTACCTACCTACCTACCTATCTACCTACCTACCTACCTACCTATCTCTCGCTCATCAAGGGAGTCCTTGACGTATGACGTCTTCACCAAGATCCATGCCATAAAAACAACAATAATAATTTATTCAAGTTGTAGGCCACCGAACTTCCAAGGACTTTGGGCAGGTCACCACAATCACACAAAGAATGGACATAAAATGAATAAAAGATAAAGGATGGCAAGACCAGATGGAATGAAGCAAGGTGTCTCCTTCTCACTC